ATAAAGAAATTAAAAATTTAAAAGTTGGTGAAAAAATTGACACTCAAAAATGGAATTTTGAAACTTCCATAATGGGCCCACAGAAAAAATCGTGGCCTTTATATTTTCTTGGATTCTAGAAGCCCACCTACTAATTATCAAATCTTCCAAACCAAAATAGATTTAAAAGAGAAATTAAGGTATAATTTTTTTCCCTACAATTTAATAATTGTATCAGATTAATAAAATTATGCTTAATATACATATTTATAATTTGGATATATTAATTATTACATGTTTCACTTTAACTTGCACCCTATGAAAATTAAATTGTTATATTAAACTTAATATGGAATATGAATATGTTTTTATTTTCGAGAGACAGTGATTCATTTTTTCTGCTAGCCTTGTTCATATTTTTTTACGTTGTGATTTAGTGACTGATTTTTTGTGGATGAAAAAGACAGTTTTGAGTGCCTTTTAGTATGTTTTAGCAACTTATTGAAACCACTCATTTTGCCTTTATTTAAGAACCTCAAATGTAAATTGATCAGTCAATAGACTATGGTATTTCCAACTTAAACTATTAAAGATTGACATTTTTTTCCCCCTATATATAATCATATTCTTGATATATCGATATATTATTAAAGATGACATATCCAATAATTTCTCCTTCAACCTAATTAAGTTTTATTTGACTTATCACCTCATCATGGTTTATTTGGAGATCATTTTGCGTAACTTATATCAATCGAATATTTATGATCATCAAAGTTAACGGACTTTTTTTGTTTGTATTTATGTCTTCAAAGCTATAAGTAGTAATTAATAAAATCGGCATGTACATCGAAAACAACGTTCATCCTATCATTTCACCATCATAATTTAAAAATACTCTTAATACGATGTGATATAGTTTGAATATTGAGTAAAATTGCTTGAATTTCTATAAATAAATAAAAAGTGCCACACGAATAAATGTATCATTAGTACCCTTTATGTATAACTCCATTTTTTTAGCAACCAACTTAAAACTTTATTTGCACACCAAAAAAATTGAATTTTAGAAGATCAATATTTGTCATCAAATCTTATCTCATACAAGATATTTTATTTTTCAGAAGAGACCACATAGGGGTAGGTCATTTAAAAAACACATTTATTAAAACCTTTAACTAAATTAAAGTGTGCAAGCTAAAAAGAGAAAAATTCTGATTCAGAAAAAAGATTGACAAATCCATAAACTTCTATACAATTTAGGCAATTGGAAAGGAATATTGAAGAAGAAGAGGATAATATAAGCCAGTTGGCCTAAGATTGTGACCTTATATTATATGAAAAATAGTAAAATTCCAGAGTCATGAAGACATGCATGCACATGAATTATTATTGGTTAAGGTAAGGTTTAATTAATTTGTAGAGTAGGCCAATGTATAACACTATATGATTGAATTGTATTTTAGCTAGTCAAGGGAAAGTGGGGATGATGATGTACAAGTTTATAAACTTAACTAATTTCAAAGTCTATATTATAATTTTTTTCTAACAAATATTTGATCTAAATAGAAGCATTAACCTAATTGTTTTGAGTTTGGACTTTTTTAAATGTTAAATTTTATTATTATATTAAATTTTTGAATTAATTTTTATTGGTCTGCGGACCGGTCCTATCAATATTTCTCAAGCCCCATAAATCAGCAGACTTATTCAGGCCGGGCTAAAAAATTCTTTTCTTAATTAAACTCCAAAAATCTTTATATCCCGAGTTAGACTAGGCCAACCAACGGCCTAACTCATATTAACGACTCCAATCTCATCTTGTTCAATGAACATTTTCACATATTTTTGAAACTATTTACATTGTAAAATCTTATACATGTAAAATTGAAATATCATGTTAACAGGCAATTTATTATGCACCCTCATAATACAAGACATTATAACTTTATAGGTTTTATATACATATCTATATATATCGAGTATTTTACAACTTTACCACTAGTAAATGTCATTGTATAAAGTTAGAATACCACTAGAACAATTAAAAACAAGAATTAGCGATAGATATCGTCAGAGTTTTTTTTGTCAACCTAAGGTATTCATAGGTGGAGGTCAGTGTCTCAAATGACTTGGTGGAGGACTTTTTTTTTTCGATCGTTGTTCAATATTTATATTTGAGTCTAAATATATTTAGATAGTGCATTGTAGGAATATTTTGAATCAACATTCTGATATAATTTTTTTCTATATATTAATCAAGACTCGAATTCAAAATATATAATTAAAAATGAAAAAGATCCTGATTATTTCAACGCGATCCACATTAATTGATGGAGGACTGTGTTACTTTGTTACGATTGTGGAAGAAACTCAACCTCATAAAACTTTGACGCGTTTTTATAATATGATTCTTTTACCTTAATAATATCACAAAGTGAAAGAGATTTGACTGAAAAGAAAATAAAGTAGAGATATCCAAATTCAAGTTCATATTCTACTTTTACACCTCACGATGTTGTATTTTTGTCTTCATTTTATGTTAGAGACCCTCCCTATTCTTGTTATTCCACGTGTCATTGTTTAATTAATTTTATATATAATTTTTCGATAATAGGTGTACATCATTCTCGTGCATCAATTATTCTTCTTTTTTATATTGATTCAATTTTATTAGTTTCTTCTAAGGAAGTAATCAATTCTAAAAGGTTAATGGTGATTTTTTTTTGTGTGTCCTAGCTCACAAATTCCATCGTTATGTTTGAATTTTGTTATAATTTACCTAATTAAGTAATGTTCATTTATTTTTCTTTATAGTTTTTATAAATTCACATCTAGCAAGTTGTTAAATCTTAGCCTTTAATTAAAAGGGGGAAAAACTACTTAAAAACGAAATGGCCATAACAATATTCATACATGTCGGGAGAAGCAAAAACAATTATACTATTGTTTGTCTAAATATATATTATGTATATAATGTCTTGTTAATATGAACCATTATTTGGTTACGTTACATATAGCAATGTCTTAACATTTATATTGTCAATATATTCTCTTATACCAATTATATTTGGCAAAATATTGAAATATTTGTACAACGTTTGAAATTTTACCAGTTTTAAAATAGGACTATATAAGACAAGTTCAATTATTTTCTATCTTTTAGCTAATTTTTCTTTTTGAAGTTTACATTACTATAAATCCTGACTCCAACACGACTATGAACAATAAATAAACAATTATTTTTCAACATGCATGAATTCTATCTATTGTATTATGTTTCTATTTATGCAACGTTATTTGATAGTTTTAAACATAAAGATGGATAAGTTGAACAAAAGTCATTCAATTGATGAACAATAATTCAACTCGTTCAAGCTAAGTTTGTGACCTAATCAAAAATTTTTTTACCCATCCTTTTCATATACGTACAAATAAAAAGAAAAGGCAATATAAACACATTTCTTCTTGAATTATTAGCTTAAATTCTTTCCAATGTATGATTATCAACCTCAAAATTATATTTTGGGTCATTTAGGTTAGTTGTTTGGCCCATTGGGTTTTATACTATTGATCTATTGGGTTATGCATGTCTGGGGAGTAGAAAAATTGAAATCAAGCATGTAAAAATTGATAAATCAAATCGATAAAAATGTTATAGGGTTACGTCTTTTAGATTGATGAGTTTTTAATGGTTTATAAATTTTTTTATTAGATTATCGATTGAATGTTGGTTTTTCATATTGGATTTTTTTTGATAAATCGATAACTCATTAAGACAAAGTAATTTACTATTTTACCCTTCATAAATATTAAATATTAATAATTTAATATATAATTAAATATTATTTTTCTTGTTTCAACATATCAAATCATTTATAACTGATTTGCTTGTTTCACTATATCGCGTTAAATTATTAGAAAACTAAGAATTCATATATTTATTTAATGAACATTTTTATTGATGAATCGAAAAATGAACTGTTAATGACAAAAAAATTCATAAATCGAAAATCGATAGAAAAATATATTTTAGTGAGTTGTTATTGATTTGACGTATTTATTTATAAAAAAATTGATATCGTATATAACTTATTTTAAGAAATTATTTTGAGATATCTTTTGTGTGAATACATATTAGATGTATATGCATATCAACACAAACATATATATATCAAAGTGCATACGTTTTAGATTATAATTTAATGGTGTATACCTGTAACAAAATGTATACATTTCAGATTAGAATTTAAGGTTGTATACATAATAGAAGTGTATACATATCGAAATTGTACGTATTGTAGTATAATAATGTATACATATCAAAATTGTACTGAATAAGGTGTATACAAGTTTAATATTAAAGATACAATAATTTTTAATAAAATCGAATAAGTATTTTACTACTCTAATATAATCTTTAATAAATTATAGTAACTTTTTTATTATTATTGTAATATGATGATTTCTTATATAGTATCAACAAATTATATATATTACACATCTTTTTCTTCCACTTTTGGTACTCATCCATTAAAGTTTCTACTATTATTAAATTAGTAAAAGCCAAATAATCACTCTATATTATGACATAAATTTGACTGTGAACATGCTAGTAAACTTCTTATCGTATAATAATTTATACTAGTCAAGTAAAATGTAATAAGATTAATTGAAAAGATGTTGATAGAAGAAATTAATTTGTGATTTTTATTATATGTATTTCTTTTGTTTTGCTATTGGTATTTTTTGAATGCTATCGAATAAACTTGATATTATATTATTAAATTCGATTAAAAAACGTTGAGAGATGAAATCGATTTATGGTTTTCTTTACGTGTGCTACTATTACTATTAGTATGTGGTACTATGATATGAACATCTGTTTCATTCTATACGAGTCACCACAATTACAAATGCATGGTTACTAGTACTTTTTAAAATTTTATTTATATATAAATTCAACCTATTCTAACAAAATTAAAAAAGGACCCTCACTTCCTCACCATTTTTAAGAAAGCTCTGAAAAACTTTTCATACAAAGCCAAATCTATTTCTCTCTCTTTCTTTTGGTCAGGCTTCTACAGAAAACTCTGTTTTCAACGTATATTTATTTATTGTCATTTGATTTGGGACAGATGAGGGGTTTACCTGGGCATGAACGCCGGTGGACGTCGGATACGGTGTCTTCCGGGAAGGATTTAAGTGGTGAGTCATCGCCGGGAACTGATTCCGGGAATATTTCCGGTTTTGCTTCGGAGGAGTTTGTTGAAGTTATACTTGATCTTCAGGATGATGATACGATTATTTTACGGAGCGTTGAACCGGCTACTGTAATCAACATTGATGGTTCTGATCCTGCTTCCGGAGTCGGTATTGGTGGAGCATCGATTGAAACTCCGGCGTCGGTGACGTCGACGTCGGAAACTCGATCGCCGATGATGCGTCGGAGTACATCTAATAAGTTTCGTCAGTTTTCACAGGAGTTGAAAGCTGAGGCTGTTGCGAAAGCGAAGCATTTCTCGCAAGAGCTTAAAGCGGAGCTAAGGAGATTCTCATGGAGCCATGGACATGCGTCTCGTGCTTTTTCGCCGGCGTCGTTTTTCCAAAACGCTGTCGTCGGAACAGGCAACGGTGTAGACTCGGCTTTAGCGGCTCGAGCATTACGTCGGCAGCGTGCTCAGCTCGACCGGACTCGTTCCAGCGCACACAAGGCTCTTCGTGGACTCAAATTCATCAGCAATAACAAAACTAACGGATGGAATGAAGTTGAAAACAATTTCGCTAAGCTCGCTAAAGACGGTTACCTTTATCGTTCCGATTTCGCACAATGCATCGGTCAGTACTCACGCCGGCGATCACTACAGTTTAATTATAGATTAATTACATTAATTTTGATTAATTATTTGGTTAAAGGTATGAAGGATTCAAAGGAATTTGCGTTGGAATTGTTTGATGCTTTAAGTAGAAGAAGAAGATTGAAGGTTGATAAGATTAGCAAAGAGGAATTGTATGAGTATTGGTCTCAAATCACCGATCAGAGTTTCGATTCTCGGCTTCAGATCTTCTTCGACATGTACGCACCATTAACTTAATTAATTAATTAGTAGTAATCAGATAAGAGTTAATTATCTTAAAGTAAAATTAGAGAAAAGTAGTTTTAGTAAACAAAACGTGAAGAGAGAGAGAAAAATTTACTGTTTGCTTTCCATGTGGAACACTCATCCACTACTGCATGACAACTGACAATAAAACTAATCGGAATATTTAAGTGGCACGTCATTATCTCTCTAATAGAGTAATTACTTGTGCAAATGGCTCAATAGTGCTTACATTTTACAGCACTTAACAATCCTTGTGGTTTTCATTGTATGGTACAGGGTGGACAAGAATGAAGATGGTCGAATTGGTGAAGAAGAAGTAAAAGAGGTAAATATTCAGTATACTATTTTTTGCTATATTCCCTCCCTCTGAGTAAAGTATAAGTGAATTTCTATGAATATACAACATTTGTGGCTCACTTGTGGTTGTTTGGTACGTAAATGGTGAGAAAAATTATACTATCCTTATAGTATAAATGATTAGATAAATAATTTTGAAATAAATTTTTTTATCAAATGTAAGATAAAATAATCTTACATTTAATCTCAAGATTATTGTTACTTATATCTCATTTAAATAATTTCTTATCTTTTTAATTTATTTAAAAAAAATATTATGTACCTATAATTGGAAAAGATAATTTACTCTTTTATCCTTAAGAAAATGATGTATGGCAACATAAAGGTGTTTAGATTAAAATTTTCAAAAGTTCTAATTTATTTTTTAAATTTCGTATTAATTGTGACTAGCGAATGTTATTTTTTAAAAAAAATAAAAAATTAATAACTTAATATTTTTGTTTTAAAAATACGTATTAAGTTAGATAGATTAGTTTTTTTTATTTTTTATTTTTTTGTTCCAAAAGAATAATATATTGTGGTCAGATTACGAGAAATGAACTTGCCTAAATTTCAGTGTTAAATTTTTTAACGGTTAAAGAAATTATGAGAAAGAAGGCAATTGATTGATTAACCTTAAGTTCAGGATTATTTTTTCAAATTAACATAGCCTTTATAAAATAATTTTTTCGGAGAACAGTCTGTCAGGTTGTGGTTTCATTAAAATGTCCCGCTGACTTTGCCTTATAAAAAGCGTACTGACTTGCATAAATAATTCATTATGCATATACAAAACACATGCATTTTTAATTAAAAACGATACTACGAAGTGGTTAGGCTTTATAATCCCTATTTTTCTTTGTTTTTTTTTTGTGATGGGATAAAATAATATGTGTTTGGCGTGATGATTAGGTAGCCAGATAAGAAAATTATAAGAATCAACGACTCCAAATATAATTATAAATGTATTTTGTTAATATAAATTCATTGTATAATCTCTCTAGTCTGCTGTCTGACGCTAACCATGTTCTAGAAACTTTTTTGTCTGGTTCAAATAATGGAACGTCAATGTATAAAGCTCTTTATGCAAATAATCCCTACATTTTTGTTTTATCTTTTCACTTACTTAAAACATCGTTTTCATTGGAGTTGGTGGGGGCGTTTTTGTCAAGTAAACACATATCTTTTATATGTTGTCAAACCTTTTTCTAATTCAAGTATATTTTGTTTTTAAAATTATTTATTCTTCCCTTTTTCCTTTTAAAATAAAATGTCTTTTGGCCCAATTATGTTCCTGAAAAATTATTGAAAAGACATTTGATGGATTAAAACTCCATATTTAAATAAGGGTGGACAAGCCAAATCTTATTTCTTATTATTTTTTAGTTTGTGATATAAATTCCAACAATATATATTACTATTTGACAATCTAATTCTTATTTTTTTTTGTTAAATACCAAGTCAATTCTCCTATCTAATTAAATTTCATTTGGCATAGATTGAGGTGATAGATAAACTTTATTGGAGGATAATTGAAATAGTTTGAGGTGATAAAACTTTCTTGGAGGATAACTTAGAGCCATTGACATATTGCTTATTTTTGTTATACTGACTAAAAGCAAGTGTTTAAAAATATTTTTATAAAAGTCATTTTAGCTTAAAAACATTTAAAATAGGTCAATCTATACATGTTTTAATCTCCTGGATATGTATGAATTTTTTTTTAATTTCATACTTTGTCGTAAGAAACTTTTTTCATAAGTAAGACTTGAATTCAAGATCTCTAATTAAAGATGGATGAAGTCAATACTGCAACAATATTTACTAGTAAAATTAGCTTTATTATATTGTAAACGACAGACAGATAATATTTGCCTTTTAATATTTAGTGTGATGAATAATGTAGATCATCATGCTAAGTGCCTCTGCAAACAAATTATCAAGATTAAAAGAACAAGCAGAGGAGTATGCAGCTCTGATCATGGAAGAATTAGATCCTGAAAGACTTGGCTACATTGAGGTAGGACCCTCTCACCCTTCCCCTTTTGTTAAGGGGGGTGCAAAGTAACACAAATTATTTTATTTTTGTTTGCTTGCACGTCAATTCGTCTTATCATGACTAACTCTTCCTATAATTAAGTAAATTACTATCAGTTGATTGGTTATTGACTTGTGCAAAATGGTTGCAACTAATTTATTGCATTAGACTTGCAAGATTATTTAAAGTCCAAGTTTGTTAGACGACAAAGGAGTGACACTGAGAAACCGTGTTGTTCAACAAATATTTTTCCATATTATAATACCATTGTCATTCTAATTTTCTAAATAAATTGCCAAATTGTAGTCGTTCAACAGTTTCTCTTTTCATTTCTTTCCTATTTTCTGCTGGCTCATCTGCTAAAAGGAAAAAAAAAGTGAAGGTGAAATGAAATATGAAAAGAATTAGGTTACTGAAGTTATAAGGAGGTGATCTGTTCAAACTTCAAAGAAAGACGCTACCTAATTTTTGTTGGTTAAGCTTACCTTATGTAGTTAAGATTAAGATTGAGATTAGTTTCAATATTTTAGGAAAGTGAAAAATGCTGTCACATCCTTGGTCAGAAGTTTATGAATTTTTACCAATTTTATCATCCTTTTTTAAAATTTTATAAGTATTACTATTATTTTTTCTTTAGTTTGTTAAAAAAAAAATCTCTTTTTATATTTGATAACTCTAAAGTTTTAGCCTCCTACTTGATATGTCTAATACCACCATAATTAAAGAGCATTTTGAAAGAAAAATTAGTGAGACTTTTGGTATTTATATTCGATAACTCCATAGTTTTAGCCTCCTACTTGATATGTTTAATACCACCATAATTAAGGTGCATTTTGAAAGAAAAATTAGTGAGAATTTTGGTATTTATACGTACTTAATTTAAGATTATATAATTTAAAAATCTTTCTTATTTTAAATTTTGTTCTTCATCAAACTAAGAGAAACATGATAATTTAGGGGATGCTCTGCAATAAGATTGATCACGGAATATAGTGGAATGAGAATGTGTGCACTAGTTTATATACTTTATTTTATTTATCCACCCACCCCACCCCCACTACTTTGGCTTCTAAATTCAGTCATGTACCTGGAGTAAGACATAGTGCAAAAACTTTAATTTATTGAAAACCATCACTTAAAAAGATATATGCTACTTTCCATCTCTTAAAAAGATTTATAACCTAAACATGCCTACTACCATTTTCAAAATTTTGAAAATGTCAAGTGAAGTATTAGTTCAAACTTCAAATTGGCCACTTGGAATTAATATAACTTAAATTTAAGCAGGTGTAGTAGTTTTAATAATGCACCTACTTTTTTCTCTATTTATTATATAAATTTCCTTTTTTCCAAATTTGAGTGAATATAATTTATCAACTAAATTGATATTTACTCTAGACTATACTTGCATTTTAAGTCTTACTAGCACTTGTTTTCTGATTTATCAAAGTCTATGGTTCCTCCATCATTAGAAGGTGGAGAATATACGACCATTACCTTTGTTGGCGGTCCTGACATCCCATGTGGACCTTCCCCTTTGTGCATCAAATGCGCGTTTTGAGCACTCAAACACGTGAACACAAAATGTCTTTCGCCAACGCAAGTTTTAAAAAAGGGAAGAAATAATAGTTGAAATAAAATTCGCCAAAAATGATTTATAATAATACTAAGTGATTACTACTTCGTTTTCGATTGTGTTGGGTTTTTTAAGTTGTTGATGGAAATGTATTGGATCTTCCAAGAATATTTAGAAAATTTGATATGGGATGAAGTAATATTTTTGGTGAATCGAGGAACATATTTATTCGATAGTTATGTAAGGGAAGGACAGTAAAACAGCAAATATGTGATGTAGTAGTCCAGGTGTGATCAATCGATCCGAACACCTCTTGTCATGAAACTAAAAGTAAATTTCATAATCAGTGGAATAAATAATTTGAAAAATAAGACTAATAACTTGTAATGACTTAAATTTTTTTAGATTGAGACCCTTTTATGGATGAATAAGCATATTGTAACATTTATCCTTGATTTACTGAGCATGATGCCATGACAATAAGTAACATGTTGTGTTTTATCATGTTGATAATGCAGCTATGGCAGCTGGAAACACTTCTCCTCCAAAAGGACACTTACCTCAACTACAGTCAAGCACTAAGCTACACAAGCCAAGCTTTGAGCCAAAATCTGCAAGGGTTGAGGAAGAGAAGCCCAATAAGAAGAATGAGCACAAAACTTGTCTATTCACTGCAAGAGAATTGGAAGAGAATTTGGGTTCTGGTCTTGTGGATTTTGATAATGATTGGACTTTTTCTTTGGAAGTTCTATCAGTACAAACAGAAAAGTGCATTTCAAGTCATGGGTTATTGCCTTCTAACAGCTAAGGGTGCTGCTGAGACTCTCAAGTTCAACATGGCTTTAATATTGTTGCCAGTATGCAGGAACACCATTACATTCCTCAGGTCTACTAAATTGAGCTGTTTTGTACCCTTTGATGACAACATAAACTTTCACAAGGTAGGCTGCCCCTTTTCATTCTCCTTTACTAAGACCACTGATAATTTGTAAGTTGCAATAGGCAGGTTTATATTTGCTCTAATATTCTTACTGTGTGCAGACTGTTGCTGCAGCCATTGTCACTGGTATCATACTCCATGCCGGTAATCACCTTGTATGTGATTTCCCAAAGCTTATACATGCAAATAGTACGAATTATCAGAAATATTTGGTGAATGATTTTGGCCCAAGCCAGCCTCAGTACATAGATCTTGTTAAAGGAGTGGAGGGTGTGACTGGAATAGTTATGGTAATCCTCATGGCCATTGCTTTCACTCTTGCAACGCGATGGTTTAGGCGGAGCCTCATTAAGTTACCCAAACCTTTTGATAGACTCACTGGTTTCAATGCGTTCTGGTACTCGCACCACCTTCTCATCATTGTCTACATCGTACTGATCATCCATGGCACATTCCTCTACCTTGTGCATAACTGGTACTCCAAAACGGTATAGCTTCTGAATTCTTGTGCTCTCCCTTTTTAATAATATTGATGTAATTTTTATTGTTTTCATGCCATTAACATGTATTTGCTCTCAGACATGGATGTATATAGCAGTTCCTGTACTTCTTTACGCAGGGGAAAGAACTCTTAGATTCTTCCGATCAGGCTTATACAGTGTCCGGCTTCTAAAAGTAAGCTTCTGAAATTAGCATTTTGTTTCACTTGCATTAGATTTCTGGAATCAGGGGGTTCTTTATATGATCTGATTTTAATGTTGGACATCCTAGCTAATTCACATGGTGAAATTCAATCACAAAATGAAAAAAAAAAACAGAATAGAAAACAATAATAGCAACGACTACACCTTAAACCCAAGCTAGTTAGGGGATGCGGATTCATCATGCATTACTCCTACTAATATTATTCTGAATGTCATCTTACTACAACTCTACTCCTTGATCTAGACTTGGAATCGTCCAGATATGTGAGCTCACACTTTACACAGGTAGAGTTATACATAGAAAATACTAGTAAACATTTAGTAGCTAAATTCAACATACTACAAGTCGTAGTTAGTAGACTAATGCTTTGTAGCTAAATTTCACGAATAACATTTCCCTTACTGCAAATGCTGAATCAAACATTTTTTTTCTCCCATTTTATTCATTTATTGAAGTTAAACAATTTATTGCAGGTAGCAATATATCCTGGAAATGTCCTTACTCTGCAAATGTCTAAGCCTCCGCAATTTCGATACAAGAGTGGACAGTATATGTTTGTCCAGTGTCCAGCTGTTTCTCCATTCGAGTGGTTAGTGATTCAAAGCATTTAGATTTTAGTGAACTTCATTACCCTACAGAACAAAAAGTTCCAATTTTACTAGATTACACGACCACCACAGTTTCTCATTTGCACCAATTTAGAGTTGTTTGTTTTACCCTGTTCTCTCTCTTGAATAGTGAAACTAGCACTTTGATGGAAGTGTAGTATGGTGATAAAATATGTGAACCGAGTTCAGAATGGGAGGCAGGGGAAGGGGGATGCAAATCTTAGTTATCTCCAATATTGTCCTAAACATTTGATAAGACTTAAGTAATAAGTATGCTTCTTTGCTGAGATTCTACATGCTCAATATCCAGGCATCCATTTTCCATTACTTCAGCTCCTGGGGATGACTACTTGAGCATTCATATCCGACAACTTGGTGACTGGACTCAAGAACTCAAGCGAGTGTTTTCCGAGGCTTGCGAGCAGCCAGAGGCTGGAAAGAGTGGCCTGCTCAGAGCTGACGAAAACACCAAAACAAGGTATAATTCTACAAGGACTTAAACTTAAATGGAGATTAGTTTCCGTGTATATTTAAGAATCAAAAGATTCCGGGTAAGTATATGAGTAAACTTGGAGGTATTATTATTATTAATGCAAAGGGTTACTCCTGAATTTCAGTTTGCCAAAGCTATTAATAGATGGACCTTATGGAGCTCCAGCACAAGATTACCGGAAGTATGATGTCTTACTGCTTGTTGGTCTTGGCATTGGAGCAACTCCCTTTATAAGTATCCTGAAAGACTTGCTCAAAAACATCGTCGCAATGGAGGAGCAAGCAGTGAGTTTCTTCATTTGTCATGTCACAGTGCATCTTCTGTCTTATTCTGCTTTTTGTTGTCTTCTCGAGATAGCGTGATGAAATGTTTATTTTCTGTTATCAGGATTTAGTCTCGGATTTCAGTGGAAACTCGGACATGAGTGCTGCAACAAGTGAACAACCAGCTCTCAACAAGATTTCTCCAAAAAAGAGAAAGAGTACTCTAAAAACCACAAATGCATATTTTTATTGGGTGACCCGGGAGCAAGGATCATTTGATTGGTTCAAAGGTGTTATGAATGAAGTGGCTGAACTTGATCAAAGGGTAATGCAAAATGCCCAGAATTTCAAGTAATTTCCTTTCTATCTCAATATTTATGATATTCCCATGATGTTCAGGGTGTCATCGAGATGCATAACTACTTGACGAGTGTTTATGAGGAAGGGGATGCACGTTCAGCTCTCATTACCATGGTCCAGGCACTTAACCATGCTAAGAATGGGGTTGATATTGTATCAGGCACCAGTGTAAGTAATTTAACAGCTTGAAGTTATATTTTTTAAACTCAATTCAGTCTTTAGGCAGTAAGTTCTTTCCTTTTAGACCTTACTCATTAGCAAAAGTTAGGATATTATTAGACATGAAATAACTAATCGATGCCTAACGTTGCTTCAGCTATTGAATTTCTCGCTGATTACTATTTATCAACAGGTGAGGACACATTTCGCCAGGCCGAATTGGAGGAAAGTATTTTCCAAGACCTTAACCAAGCATGCAAATGCAAGAATAGGTATGATTATCATTTGACGTGTCCGACATTGAAAATTGTCATTGTTTTATGGCTAGTTGATTCCAAGTTTGGTGTTTTCGAGCAGGAGTTTTCTACTGTGGTGCACCCATATTAGCTAAAGAACTCAGCCAACTCTGCAAAGAGTTTAACCAAAAGGGCACAACAAAGTTCGAGTTTCACAAAGAACATTTTTAGAAGGGCCTGGAGTATGATTAATCTTGCATCAACGGTACACACATCTATCTTCGGTACCTTATTTGATTATTCTACTGAAGAGATAACATTAGTAAGGAATAAGTCAGAGATAAATTGTACATAATAGGAAGAAGACTATTTCAAGAGAAAATACATACCAATAAGATGTGTATAGGTTTTTTATATTCAGTCATCTGTTATCACATACCAAACTTCAGAACTCCTAAAGGGAGACTCTGCTTTGGTCAGATGACTTTAGAATATGGGAGGAAAAAAAAGATGACAATTGAATGGTCATGATACACATGAAAAATGAGAATATTGGGATACAGCTAATAAGAAGTTGACCTTCTTGATAAAGAAACACTGAAAATGGCAAGCATGAAAGGACAGACACTCATTGCTTGAATGGGGATAACAAAATACAATTTTGAAAGAAGAAGATAATATAAGTAGGACTAGTGGGGGACTGATAGCTTTGTTGGTGGAACTTATAATGGGGCTAAGAGAATCCTTCCAAAAAATGTCTATGTAGTAACTACTTTTTCTTCTTCTTTTGCGTTGTGATTATTTTTTGGGGTATTTTAATATACTACTTATTAGATTAGAGGATAGAAAATACGTGTATATGCAATTCTTATTAGTAAAGTTTATCAGTTATTTAATCTGGAGAAAGGTACTATCAAAGGAAAAATCTCATTGATTTTGTTGTATTTCCTTCAAGTTTTTTCTCAACGTCCTATCAAAATCTCACAGATTTTTTATTGATAGAAATTATCATGTACAACTTGTATGCGTTTGAGATATAATTGTTATATTAGTGAGTAGCAAGTCAGTTTTATTAAGTTAGCAATTACTCCATTTTTTATCATACAGTATAAGTGACATGGTTAAGCATACATCTTTTACAGAAGGTGTCAAATATTTATACTATATAAGGTGAGCTTAAAGATAGTTAAAGACAATTATTCAAAGTAAATAGAATTAACAGCTCAAATGATGCTGCAAATAACTTTATACAACATGTTAAATTGCTCTTATCTTAGTGTTTAGTAGAAGAGTACATTTGTCATGGAAGCCCAATCTTGATCTACAAGTTTCGTTGATCTTGTTGGGCCTCTAGTCCAAATGCTCACCTAGCAGTTGTTCCATAAGTAATCCCTTTAAAATCATTTGCCAACCTAGGTTTTTTTTGTAGTCACTAGTGGTACCATTTTTTTTAGCAACAATTTTTTTTTTAACCACACAATTAGTCGTCTCTATTCGATTTTCACCGCCCCTATCCCCCCAAAAAAAGGACCTCCTGTGGGGGTGAGACATTATTTTGAGGGAAGTTCCAACTAGCTAGGAGCCTAAGACAATGGTCGAGAGAGGGAACAGAAAGGGTTCATGCAAATCATTTTCTGTAACGAAAAATTACACCGTATAGTATATATATGGACAATATATTTCTTATGCGTTGTCGAATGTTCATTTTACATTTTGTTTCTATACTTTATATTTTGAAGCTCTATAGTGAAATTCTTTGACTTCACCTCTCTAGTTAGGAATTATTAGTTTCTTTTGAACAAGTAATTAAACTAGTTAAGGTAGATAATTGAGGTTTTGAAGCTAATTATATTGACATTTTGGTGCAAATAATTCTGGAATTTAGAAGGAAGTTGGGCAAAAAAAAAGGACAAGTCAAGCCTACGGTTTCATTTTGGAAGTCAAATTTGTATACTTTTTCATCCAAATTAATGTTAAACCAATTTGAGGTTTGTTACTAAAAAGACTAATTGAGAACCGCGTTTAAATAGTTTTTAGTTTTAGTATAGTGATAGATTACCCAAATTCTCCGTTTCACGAAGAAGTTACCTGATTTGACTTGGCATGAAATTTAAGAGTATAAATAAGACTTTTAAATCTTGTGATCATAAATTAAAGTTAGGTCAAATATACAAAATTATCTTTTGATCTTGTGGCCTTAAATATGTCTTGTGGAAATTTGTTACCAAAAAAAGAAAGAGCTCATTCTTTTTGAAACAAACTAAAAAGAAAAGGAGATCATTCTTTTTGAAACGGAGGAAGTAATTTGTATTATTCTTGTGTTTGGTATGAATTCTCGGCTTAAATGCTTTGGAAAATATTTTTTAAATTAATTTATTTTTCTCAAATATAAGAAAAATAATGTGCCTCCAAACCGTAAGGGAAGCATTTTCCAAAATAATTTTCCTACCTCACACCTAGTCACCTTAACTCTGAATACCAATTCCCGATACTAATTCGTGATCTGACCTTAGTTCTCGATTCATGACCTCAACTCTTGACCTCGATTTGAGACCTAACTCTCGGCTCAGGTTGGAACGGTGTCGAGTCCCAACTAAGGATTTTGAGTTGGGTGCCGGGTGGGGTTTCTAGTCAGGTGTTGAATTCGAGTTTTGAATCTAGAGTCGAAATCGAATCTCAGGTGTTGGTTCGGATTCTGAATCGATCGTCCAAGTCCAATGTCGGGGTTGAATCCCAATTTGAAAGTTGGGTATCAGGTTGCGCGTCAAGGTCATATTTCGATTTGATCATCATGATCGTGTCAATTTGAGTGTTGGAGTGGAGTTTCGTATAGGTTATCAGGATGATATTCGAGTCAAAAATTATTTTTCTAAACAGTATATCTATTCTCTAGTAACAAATATATATTTTTCTTTTGCCAACTAAACACTAAAAATATTTTTCACTTACCAATCAAACATAAGATTCTAACTTATTTTCTCAAAAACATTACTATGAAAAACATTTTCCTTTGTAGAATTGTTGCAAAAACTAGCTGATTCATAATTCTATCTAGAGGTGTTTCGTCAAATTCTAGAACCCATATATAAAAATTGGATAGTCTATTTTTTAAAATAGCTCCCAAATGACGGCCAAAATTAATTATAATTTTGGTCTAAGAGGACTTTTTCAATCTATGTTTTATTATATTTTTTGTAAATTGCATATTTTTAAAAAATAAGAAGAATAGGCAACCTTATATACCTAATAACAAATGTTTCGTTTTCATAACAAAATTTACACAAGTAGCCTGGGCAGCATAGTTTGTACTTTATAGAACTTCCATTAGTCTACTATGTACCCTCCAATATAAATGTTAAAATTTTGTTACGAGGAGCTATCAACTCTGATAATACGTTTTATATATGTTTCAATTTATATAACATAGTTAGAATTATTTCTCTCTTAGGCTACCGGTAGGCAACTGTGTGTGCTTAGAGAAAATGACCTTTCATTTAACATTTGTTCTCAAAATTTATTTAATATCTAGCCTTAACTTAGAGCATAACAGCTTAAATTGGCTAGAACTGAAACTCATAAAATGAGGATATGTGCCATTTAGTGAACTTGTAAGGGCAAAGTTGGCAACAATTAGAGTTTTTAAAACTTGAATGAGGTAAAAGTTTTTTAATAATGAGATAATGTTGAAATGAACTATTTAGCATACAATTGAAGGTTTTTTTTTCCAATGAAGTTGAAATGAATGTTCTTTCTATAATTTTTAAAAGTTGAATGAGATAATGTTGTAATAAGAAAACCTTGTGGGTCAATATTCGTAGTTTACTTTCATTTGTTTTTTAAAAATTCTTGTCACACTCATTCAATTTATGAACCAAAATTTAATTGATAAAAAATCAAAGCTCCAAACTAATTAGAGCCTGTTTGAATTAGTTGATTCGAAATTTGTCAAATAATAGGTGTTGATAAGTAATTTTAAGTGTTAAAATTGATATTATATAAATAAACAATTACGTTTTTAAATAACATATGTTAAAACTAATAATAAATATGATTAATTATTTGATGAGTTATTTTTGTTAAAATAATAAATATACCCTTAAAAAGTTATAAAAATAATAGTACAAATTTTAGAAAGTTATCTTTGAAAAGAAAAAAAGGAGGAAAGATATATGCAATGAAAAGGAAATTAGGGGCTTTGTTTTGCGAAAGGTCAAATTAGGAAAAATATTTAAAATAAAATAGCGATGAAAATTGAAAACTAAAAGCGTTATAAACATTTGGTGGCAGTGGAATGATTCAAAATAACATATTGCAGGTTTGAATCCCTAAAAATTAAAAAGATCTAGTTAGAAATGTTGTTCGGAAAAATAAATCATGCAAAACACAAACTTGAATATAGTCCGAATTCAATGCTAGTATTAGATAAAAAATTAAAAAATCTAATCATCTTTAAGTATTCTACGTAGCACGAATTCAAATCTAATTAAAATTGAACATATTACTGAATAACAAACAATACAGTTGAAGTCAATTTTATCAAATCCACATGTCTAAGCCATAGAAAAATATTAACATAGACACAAAGACTAAATAAATTATATATGTGGCTATTAACATTTTCCACAAAAATGTCTCTATCAGAAAACATTAACTATACTATATAAATAAACACACCTCCTTTATAACTTCAATTCAAAAAAAAACGCATAAATTTTTTTCTCCAAATTGCAAAAATAATGGCCACTGACCAAAAATACCCACTAGCACCATCAAATATTATGCCTAGAAGTGATGCAGAATTTGCTACAACTAATTTCCAATCAAATAATCAAAGAAGGAAGAAAAAACTCAGAAATATTTTTCTCCTCACAATATTTCTTACTGGAATTATTCTTCTGTTTTCCTTCACCTTCCTTCGAATTAAATCGCCAAAAATCAGGATCGAGAATATCAGAATAACGAACGATGGTGATGGGATGATTAATTTCTCCGCGCAAGTTTTTTTAAGGAATCGGAATTTTTGGCGTTACGATTATGATAGTACCTTAGGTACTATTAATACTGCGGAAGGTACAACTATTGGACGATTCGTTATTCCCGATGGAGAAGCACGACGTCGTTCGACGCAAAAAGTTTATGTTATAGCAAATATTAATTTGCCATCAAGAATTAATAATACTTCTGGGATTTTACCAGTGATTAGTGAAGCTAAAATGAGAGGAAAATTGAAAGTGTTTAGAGTATTTAGATGGAAAAAAACTGTAGATTTGAGTTGTACTATGTCTATTAATTTGACAATTAGTGCAATTCAGGATCTTGATTGCCAGTGATAATAATAAATGAGATTTGTTAAATAAAAAAAAATGAGTCTAACAAAGTACTTTAATTTTTATGTATACGT